GGGGTACGAGGGAGAGAGTAAGAGAGAAGTAAGGGATGGATAAGTAGGGGGGATCCGAGGGTGTTGAGAGAGGGAGGTGAGGAGAGAGATGAAGATAAGGAGGGAAAGAATGAGAGATAGAAGAAGGGGCTGGCAGAATTCTACAGTGATGCAGAGGACGAGAGGGGGGAAGAGGGATTGCTAGACGGGATGTAAAGAAAGAGGAGGGGGAAAGAAAGAAATAGACAGAGCTCAGAAGTAAGAAAACAGGAAGAAGAGAAAAAGAAGGAGAGAAGCAATGAAGAAGAGAATGAGAAGAGGGTGGAATAGGAGATAGGAGGATTAGATAGAAAAGAGGTTAAGCGAGGAGAGAAGAGGGGGGGGAGGAGAGACAGAGCGGGATATTGACGAGAAGAGAAGGGAGAGGATATAGAGTGGGAGTGGGGATAGAAGAGGATAGAGAGAGGCAGGATTAAAGCAGGTGTTATGATGAGCGAAGGCGTGGGGAGAGAGTATTTTAAAGAGAGAGGGGAGACAGAAGAGGGAGGATGTGTAGAGTTTGTATTTAAGAAATGGTAGAAGTAAGCAGAGTGTGGGAGCAGAAAGATCGGATATGGAGAGATTTAACTATGGGGGGGAGAGAGAAGAGGGGTATGGGAGAGAAGAGGGAGAGGATGAGTGAGAAGAGGGGGGGTGTGCCACGAGAATCACTAAGGAGAGAATAAGAAAGGGGGAGCGAGACCTAGAGGAAGAGTAAAAGAAGAAGTAGAAAGAAGTAGAAGAAGAAAGTAGATGAGAGGGGGAAGAGGAGTGAAGTAGAAGATGTAGAAGAGAGAAGAGAAAGTATACGAGACGGCAGAGAAGGAGGGGGAGAACAGGAGAGAAGAGAGTCGGCAGTGAAGAGAGTAAAGAAGTGAAAAGGGGAGATCAGTGAGAGGGGGAGAGGAATCATGCATTAAGAATGACGAGATAGACCATACATTGACTGGGAGAGGAGGGAGAGAAGAGCAGAGGCAAGAGATAGAAGGAAGCGAAGATGAAGGAGAAGGTCAAGACAGAGAAGAGAGAAGAGAAGGAAACAGAGAAGAGACTACGTGGTGTGACGGAGAAGAGAGAAGAGAAGCGAGGGAGGATTAGGAAGAGAGGGAGAGCGGAAAAGAATGAAAAATTCCCTCCGAAGAGGGGAGAGAGAGAAGAGAGACCCCCTAAAGATGAGAGACTAGAAGAGTCTAGATAGAGGTAGGAACAGAAAGAATGATGTTTAAGGTAAGATCAGATGATTGCAGTTAACCAAGATGACTAATAGAGAAGGGATAGGAGAGAGAAGATAATAGAGAGATGAGAGAGAGAAGTGGGAGAGGAGATGAATGAAGAGAGGGAGGCGAGGATGAGAAGAGAGTGAGGGAGTAGTTAGCCGGTCACACACATGAGAGCACAAGAGGGAGACCATATATGGGGAAACCGAGGTGTGGTGCAATGGCAATATTATTGCTCTTGAGCGGGTGATTTATAGACGGGGTGGATAGAGAGAGATGTTGTGCGGGAGGGAGGTAGTGGACTAAGAGGGGGAGCTAGAGAGGGCGAATGTGTGCTGTTTATGGTGGCAGGGATCGCTTAGGGGAGGTTAGATGACGGATTTTGTAGAGGGTTGGGCTGAAGATATGTATTGGATTAGAGGAGTAGAAGTTTTGAGTTAAGCAAGAGGTGCAAGAAGGGATATACAGTAAAATATCGGTAATGGTTTTTTGGTTGTTTGTTTTGATCATGGTGGGCATCAAGACGAGGGGGGGAGAAGAAGATAGAGTGTGAGAACAAGAAAGTGAAGAAGATCCATCTATCGATGTATTTAGCGGGGGATAGATTTATATGATTTTTTTGGAGGGGGGATGATGCATATGGTATTGATGAGATACAAAAGCGAGGGGGGTGGTTTTGATAGAGAGGGGGGAGAGAGTCATGGAGAGGAGAGAAGTCGATAGGAGAAGAGATTTAGAGATTAGAAGAAGGTCAGAGAGAAATATGAGAGGGATAAAAGGAGGTAGAGACGCATACTTAGTAGCGAATCGAGAGAGACTTGATAGGAAAGGGCTAATCTGGCATTAAGAATGTAGATGTTATGGAGAACGTCTGGGGAAAGGCACAGCTGATCTACAGGAGCAATAAACAGATGTGTGTATGTGGATCAGTAGTTGGACAGGGCCGTCAGCTGAGGAGGGGGCGCGCTCGCTCACATGTGTGGTGGTGGTGGGGAAAAAAATCAATGGTTGGGGGGATCAGTGGCGAGCAAGGATCGGTGGTTGGGGGAGATCATAAAACTTATGGGGGGGGGGGGTGGATCGAGTGTCGGGGGGAATCAGTTAGTTGGGGGAATCAGTGAGTGGTGGGAGGGGGGATCAGTGGGTAGAGGGATGTGAGGGGATCAGTAGTTGTGGAGAATCAGTGGATGGAGTGGCGGGGGGATCAGTGGTGGTGAGGGATTCAAGTAGTTGGGGGCATCAGTAGCTTGTGGGATCAGTAGTTGTGGGATCAAGTAGTTGGGGTGTCATCAGTAGTTGGGGGATTCAGTAGTTGGGGGGATCGCAGTAGTTGGGGGGGGGGGGATCCAGTAGTTGTGGGATCAGTGGCAGAGATCTGCTCTCTATTGTATCCTATGAGTGAACATGGAGATGTTGTCCGGTGATTTCCCCCGGGAGGGATGAAGATGTGACGTGTCCCCACTCATCCCCCCCCCCCCCTTTGGGGACAATCTCACCCCCAGCCACGCTGGTACCAATCCCGTCTCTCCAGGACAGACAGAGGGGAGACAATAAGTGAAGGGGGACGGAGCGCACGTTAAATTATTGGGGGGGGGTTCGGTTCCAGAGGAAAGGGACAGAAATCACAAAGTGATGACTGAAGAGAATTCAGAGATGGGGAGGGGGGAGGGGGATTCTTTTCTCCCCCCCTTTCCCCGCACTTCTCAGCTCCTCTCAGTCTCAGATCTCATTTTCACCTGAGTGCAGACCGCCAGCAGCAATTTACACCTCTGTCCTGCTGCCAAAATCTGCCCCCCCCCCCCCCCCCCCATCTCCCATTGTGTGCGGAGCCCATGGCTGTCCCCGATACTCTGTGTTCACAGGCCGCCTGATGGCCCGACTTTCAGCAGAGAAGCAGCCCCGGGGGGCGGCCTTCCAGGGGCCCACACAGATAGTCAAACAATCCCTTTTGGGCGCACTGGCCCTTTAAGCTCTTCTACATCTCAGCAGGACCGTGTGATGGTGAGGACACAACCAGCACCTATGTACAGAACACGCGTGTAACATCCCGTGTACTCACGGCGCAGGGAGTACAGATGCACACAGGCCTCAGTACACAGCGGGGAGGGTCGAGGCATACTGTAATCTGGACACTGGAGGGCGCCCATGAGCAAAACACAAAGTACAACCCAATGGAGCAGGCAGTAAATGACGTATAATAAAAGTACCTGCAGTGCCGTGCGAAGAGGACCGATCGGTGCCTGCGCCAAGAGGACATCGGTGCCTGCGCCAAGAGGACGCACACGGGTGCCGCGCCAAGGCATAGTGTGTCCGCGCCAATAGGACGCATCGTTGCCAGCGCCAAAGGAGTGGGCATCGGTGCCGCGCCAAGAGGACGCATCGGTGCCGCGCCAAGAGGACGCATCGGTGCCGCGCCAAGAGGACGCATCGGTGCCGCGCAACATCGGTGCAGCGCCAAGAGGACGCATCGGTGCCGCGCCAAGAGGACGCATCGGTGCCGCGCCAAATGAGGACGCATCGGCGTGGCCGCGCCAAAGAGGACGCATCGGTTGCCGCGCCAAGAGGACGCATCGTGCCGAAGAGGACGCATCGGTGGCCGCGCCAAGAAAGGACGCATCGGTGCCGCGAAGAGGACGATCGGTGCTGGCCGCGCCAAGGAGGACGATCGGTGCCGCGCCAAGAGGACGCATCGGGTGCCGCGCCAAGAGGACGCATCGGTGCCGCGCCAAGAGGACCTGCATCGGTGCGCGCCAAGAGGACGCATCGGTGCCGTGCGCCCAAGAGGACGCATCGGGATTGCCGCCGCCAAGAGGACGCATCGGTGCCGCGCCACAGAGGACGCTTCGGTGCCGCGCCAAGAGGACGATCGTAAAGCCCGCGCAAGAGGACGATCGGTAAGTGCGAAGAGGATTCCGATCGGTGAGTGCGAAGAGGACGATCGGTGAAGGTGCGAGAGGAAAGGCGCAAAGAGGACGATCGGTGAAAGTGCGAAGAGGACCGATCGGTGAAGTGCGAAGAGGACCGATCGGTGAAGTGCGAAGTGCCAATCGAAAGAGGACGATCGGTGAAGTGCGAAGAGGACCGATCGGTGAAGTGCGAAGAGGACGATCGGTGAAGTGCGAAGAGGACGATCGGTGAAGTGCGAAGAGGACGATTGGTGAAGTGCGAAGAGGACGCATCGGTGAAAGTGCGAAGAGGACGATCGGTAAAGTGCGAAGAGGACGATCGGTGAAGTGCGAAGAGGACGCATCGGTGAAGTGCGAAGAGGACGCATCGGTGAAGTGCGAAGAGGACGATCGGTGAAAGTGCGAAGAGGACGATCGGTGAAGTGCGAAGAGGACGCGATCGGTGAAGTGCGAAGAGGACGCATCAGTAAAGTGCGAAGAGGACGATCGGTGAAGTGCGAAGAGGACGATTGGTGCAGTGCGAAGAGGACGATCGGTGCAAGTGCGAAGAGGACAATCGGTGAAGTGCGAAGAGGACGATCGGTGAAGTGTGAAGAGGACGATCGGGAAATCTTCCGACAGTCACAAATACCAATGGTCCCAACAGAGAGAACTATTCATATATAATTTTATTGATTACATTTTTTTTTATTAATTAAAATGCATATTAATATTTAGGTATGATGTGATCCCCCCCCCACTCCCCCCCCCGACACATAGTGATCTCCCTCCTTTCCAGCCCGCTCCCCAGGACAGATGGCCCCCGCCGCCACACCCCACATATTTGTGGAATCCTACACATGGCCGCGGTCAGGATTACCTTGACGTAGCGCTCCAGCGCAGGGTGCACCCGCGTGGTGGCGAGCTGTATGGAGAAGGGCGTGGTGTACGGGAAGGTGGCCATCACCGCGTGGTTCACCTCCGGCAGGACGCAGAACTTGAACCCGTGTTTGCGGGAATATCCGGACGTGATCCGGCAGCGGCTTCTCATCGCCTTCGCTCAGGATACTGCCCACTATGTACCTGCAGAACTCCACCGGAACCTGGAAGAGAGGAGGAGCCTGTTATCAGACCCGCCCATCATCTACAAAGAGGCCTGATGAAGGAAACGCCAACAATATCTGAACATTTCAAATTAAAATTTATCTGCAGCCCAAATTTTTTTTCTTTTTTTTGGTTTTGGATGGAGTAGGAATGGGCGTGTCCCACTGGAAAACCATCACCGGAAGCGTTCAGCGCTTGGACCGCCATGCCAGTGCGATAATTCTCCCGCCAGACCTCCTGTGTCACTCTAAGCTGGTTCCCTGTACAGCTATGGAGATTTTTTTAGGTACCGCAGTTTGGCGCCATTCCAATTTTAAAGCGTGACGCGTTTTGGTATCTATTTACTCGGTATGACATCATCTTTTATATTTTACTGAAATTGCGTATTACGCTGTGTTTGTGTGCAATTACATTCCTTAAAGCGTATTTTTTTCTAAAAAAAAAAAAAAAAATTGTATTTGAAAAGCCTCTGCGCAAACACCGCGTGATGTAAACGCTGGCAACACCCACCATTTTATTAGCTGTTGCCAAACTACAAGTCCCATGAGGCATTGCAGGATTGACAGTTACAAGCATGACTCCCAAAGGCAGAGGCATGATGGGACTTGTAGTTTCGCAACAGCTGGGGGACCGCCTGTTTGACACCCCTGCACTAGGGCCTCTGCTTAACCCCTCCTCCTGAGGCCCCCCCCCCCCATTCCTGACCAGGCCATTTTTGTGTTACTTTAACTGACGATTGCGCGGTCATGCAACGCTGCACCCAAATTATATATATACACACAGTGAAGGAAATGCGTTTTTGCTCCCCTGCTGATGGTGAATGTTCGCCCCTCACACAGAAATGATCGGTTTCTAACAATGGAATGTTCGCCCCTCACACAGAAATGATCGGTCTAACAATGGAATGTTTTGTTTTTGTTTTCGCCCCTCACACAGAAATGATCGGCCTAACAATGGAATGTTCGCCCCTCACACAGAAAAGATGATCGGTCTAACAATGGAATGTTCGCCCCTCACACAGAAATGATCGGTCTAACAATGGAATGTTCGCCCCTCACACAGAAATGATCGGTCTAACAATGGAATGTTCGCTGTAACACTGAGAGACAGAATACAACAACAAATTCAGCAGAAATGCGTCTAACAAATGATGACTGATCTGCATGTTCATGAGGGAAAGAAGGATTTGATCCCTTTCACAAAACATGACTTAGTACTTGGTGGCAAATCCCTTGTTGGCAATCACAGAGGTCAGACGTTTCCTGGAGTTGGCCCCCAGGTTCGCACACATCTCGGGGGATTTTGGCCCACTCCTCTTGGCAGATCTTCTCCAAGTCATTAAGGTTTGGTGGCTTGAGCCGCTCCTTTGTTGCCTTGGCCGTGTGTTTTGGGTCATTGTCATGCTGGAACATCCATCCACCACCCATTTTCAATGCCCTGACTGAGGGAAGAAGGTTCTCACCCAAGATTTGAGGGTACATTGCCCCGTCCATCGTCCCTTTGATGCGGTGCAGTTGAAAACTTAATAGAAAAAACACCCCCAAAGTAGAATGTTTCCACCACGTTTCACAGTTGGGATGGTGTTCTTGGGGTCATAGGCAGCATTCTCCTCCTCCGAACACGATGAGTTGAGTTGATGCCAAAGAGCTGGATTTTGGTCTCATCTGACCACAACACTTCCCACCAGTCCTCCTCTGCATCATTCAGATGTTCAGTGGCAGACTTCAGACGGGCTGGACATGGGCTTTCTTGAGCAGAGGGACCGTGCGGGCACTGCAGGATTTCAGTCCTTGTCGGCGTAGTGTGTTCCCAATTGTTTTCTTGGTGCACTGTGGTCCCAGCTGCCTGGAGATCATTGACAAGGTCCTCACGTGTAGTTCTGGGATGATTCCTCACTGTTCTCATGATCATTGACACTCCACGAGGTGAGATCTTGCATGGTGCACCAGACCTAGGGAGACTGACACTTGTTTTGTGTTTCTTCCATTTGTGAATGATTGCACCAACTGTTGTCACCTTCTCACCAAGCTGCTTGGCCATAGTTTGGTAGCCCAGTCCAGCCTTGTGTAGGTCTACCATCTTGTCCCTGACATCCTTGGACAGCTCTTTGGTCTTTGCCATGGTGGAGAGTTTGGAATCTGATGGTTTGATGGCTCCTGTGGACAGGTGTCTTTTATACAGGTAACACAATGAGATTAGCAGCACTCCCTTTAAGAGACTGCTTCTAATCTCAGCTTGTTACCTGTATGAGAGAAACCTGGGAGCCAGAAATCCTGCTGAATGATAGGGGATCAAATCCTTCTTTCCCTCATGAACATGCAGATCCGTCATCATTTGTTAGACGCATTTCTGCTGAATTTGTTGTTGGATTCTGTCTCTCAGTGTTACACCCGAACATTCCATTGTTAGACCGATCATTTCTGTGTGAGGGGCGACCATTCCATTGTTAGACCGATCGTTTCTGTTGTGAGGGGCGAACATTCCATTGTTAGACCGATCGTTTCTGTGTGAGGGGCGAACATTCCATTGTTAGACCGATCGTTTCTGTGTGAGGGTGGCGAACATTCCATTGTTAGACCGATCGTTTCTGTGTGAGAGGGCGTGCGAACATTCCATTGTTAGACCGATCGTTTCTGTGTGTTTTTTTTTTTTTTTTTTTTTAGGGGCGAACATTCCATTGTTAGACCGATCGTTTCTGTGTGAGGGGCGGACATTCCATTGTTACCAAGCCCACCCACCATCACCCCGCTTTCTCCCCCCAACGCGCGCCCCCCCCTTTCCACACCCCACACACCCATGCCACCCTTCCCCCCCCCCCCCCCTTCCCCCATCCCAGACCGATCGTTTCTGTGTGAGGGGCGAACATTCCATTGTTAGACCGATCGTATTTCTGTGTGAGGGGCGAACATTCCATTGTTAGACCGATCGTTTCTGTGTGAGGGGCGAACATTCCATTGTTAGACCGATCGTTTCTGTGTGAGGGGCGAACATTCCATTGTTAGACCGATCGTTTCTGTGTGAGGGGCGAACATTCCATTGTTAGACCGATCATTTCTGTGTGAGGGGCAAACATTCAGCATCAGCCGGGGAGCAAATACACATTTCCTTCATATACACACACGTGATTTTGCGCACCCCTGCCGCCCTGCAGCAGTATTTCTGGGCGGTCAGGAAGCGGTTAAGAATAATAATAATAATATATTGGGGGTTCTAAGTAATTTTCTGGCAAAAAAATAAAGCCGATTTCCCAGGGAGAGAAATGTCGGGATTGGTCCAGGTGGTCCGGGGTTCAGCTGCAACATTGTATTCTGACACTTTCCGGATTGTTCTGTTCCACAATGTCGCATCTCAGATACAAACCAGCTGCACTGCTGCTGTTTTTTTCTCAACAAGCTTTATTGCAAGTAGTGCCCACGGACAAAGCCAGACTGCTAGACCTGACGGGGACGAAACGCGTCTATGGCAAAATGCAGGGAGGTCAGCGATGCGTCATGGTCTGGCTTTCAGCTCACATCCGTGATGGCCCGCAGTGCCTTCTTAAAGGGTGATCTGCGTATGGATCGCTTTTCAGAGGCCAAGCGGTGAGAAAACGTTATAACATCTCCTCGCCGACTGATTTAACCCTATAATGCTACGGCGCCATCGTCCCGTTGTGATGCGGCTCCATTAACTCAATGGGCGGGTTCGTCAAACTCTGCAACCCAAGGTAAAAATACCGCCCCCCCCCTTCCCCCGGTCACTGTCTGAAACAGCATGCTCAGTGTTTGCGTTACTTGCAATAAAGCTTGTTGAAGAGCGGCCGGGGCAGCCTGCTTGCTGGTGCCTTACATACACCATTGCAGGAGGTCGGAACAATCCGGAAAGTGCGGGGGGGGGGGGGGGGGGGGGACACACACACAACAAAGGATTTTTCCGCACAATAAACAGACTTTCTGTTGTGTACGCACCGCGCTGCGCTTACACACAAACATCTCCCCCCCACCCCCGCACATGGTGGCCGCGCCGCGTTTACCGTACGCAACACCAACCGGATTACGCCCCAGTCCAAGGCAGATGCTTCCGGAGGCTGCCAATGTGGACCTCCTAAAAAAAAAAAAAAAATGCTTGCTGCCTGGATCTCATTGGCCTCAATAAATTCTGATCCATATCAAGCATGTGGCAAGTGAAAACTCCTGATCCGCATCCAGGCCAAAGGCTGGGGAGGTGTTAAAGGTTAACAATCGATAGAGGCTGGAATGGGAAGCAAGGCATGACGGGGGGGTCTCCTCAATAGCCCCTGAGCCCCTTCAGTGAGCTGAGAAGCACGGGATTTGCGTAAAGACGGGCCCCCGCTGCGCACACCTGCCGCACACCTGAGTTCCAGCGTCGTGTACGAGTGGCGCTCCCGCGAGGCGTTTCAGCGTTGCCCCCAGAGGCCTGCTTGCTCTTATAATAACCTGGTGATCCCCCCCCCCCGGGGAGGGGTTGCTATGTATTTCTGTATCACTCGGCCGGGTGCAACCGACTGCAACTTATTACAAAGACACCGAACCCCCTCCCCCACCCCGGCCTCATGACACCAAATTACTGAAGTGCAAAAAATAAAGCGCGGCGAGGTGACACCGGCCCGACGGGGCGATAAAGAGACGAAGAGAGATCTACTTTTCCAATACAGAAAAATGTTCTGGAACATTCTACAGAAATAGATAATAGCCCTCCGCCGTGTGACTACATGGCCCAACGCCAACGCAACGTCCCGGCACTACTTGTACCCCTTTCACCCGGGCCCCTCGGTCCCCGCCTTCTTTCCATTATCATTCCTATGAACCCTGGACCCCACCATCACCCCCAAGGACCTCTCCTTCTCATCCTAGCCCCACCATCACCCCCAAGGACCTCTCCTTCTCATCCTAGCCCCACCATCACCCCCAAGGACCTCTCCTCTCATCCTAGCCCCACCATCACCCCCAAGGACCTCTCCTTCTCATCCTGAACCCCACCATCACCCCCAAGGACCTCTCCTTCTCATCCTGAACCCCACCATCACCCCCTGAGGACCTTTCCTTCTCATCCTGGCCCCACCATCACCTCCAAGGACCTCTTCTTCTCATCCTAGCCCCACCATCACCCCCAAGGACCTCTCCTTCTCATCCTGAACCCCACCATCACCCCCCCTCTTCTTCTCATCCTGAGGACCTCTCCTTCTCATCCTGAACCCCACCATCACCCCCCCCCGAGGACATTTCCTTCTCATCCTGGCCCCCATCCATCCCCCTGCAAGGACCTCTCCTTCTAATCTTGGCCCCACCATCACCCCCCCCGAAGGACCTCTCTTTCTCATTCTAGCCCCACCATCACCCCTAAGGACCTCTCCTTCTCATCCTTCTCATCCTAAACCTCTCCTTCTCATCCCCCCACCATCACCCCTGAGGACCTTTCCTTCTCATCCTGCCCCACCATCACCCCCGAGGACCTCTCCTTCTCATCCTGAACCCCACCATCACCCCCGAGGACCTTTCCTTCTCATCCTGGCCCCACCATCACCCCGAAGGACCTCTCCTCACCCAGAACCCCACCATCACCCCCGAGGACCTCTCCTCATCCTGGGCCCCACCATCACCCCCAAGGACCTCTCCTTATCCTGGGCTCCACCATCACCCCCAAGGACCTCTCCTCATTCTGGACCCCCACCATCACCCCCGAGGACCTCTCCTTCTCATCATGCGTCACACTTTCACTCCCATGAACTGCCCCAGACCCAACCACCAACCTTTCTCATCCTGGGTCCACCATTTTCCCCAAACACTGCTTAGGATCCCACCATAGTCCCCCTTAGACTGCCCAAGAATCTATCAACAAAATTTCTCACCTGCTATCACCTTCCTGGATATATGTTATCACCCCCCTCATGGACAACCCCAGAACTTTCTCACCATGGGTCTGCCATCACCCCCAAGAATCACTCTAGACCCCACCAACACCCCTATGAACTTTTCTAGACCCCACCATCACCCCCCATGAACTTTCTGCTCTAGACCCTACGAACACTCATTTGAACTGCTCTAGACCCCTGCCACCCAACCCTTCTCATCTTTGGGCCCACCATTACCCCCCATGAACCACTCTAGACCCACCAACACCCATATGAACTACTCTAGATCCCACCACCAACCAACCCTTCTCCCCTTGGGGCCCACCATCACCCCCAAGACCCCAAGAACTGCTCTAGACCCCACCACCTATGTGAACTGCTCTAGACCCCACCACCAAGCTTTCTCACCTTGAGGCCCACCATCACCCCCAAGAACCACTTTAGACCCCACCAACACCACTATGAACTGCTCTAGACCCCACTAACACTCATATGAACTGCTCTAAACCCCTCCACCAACCCTTATCACCTTTAGGCCCACCATCACCCCCCTGAATCGCTCTATTCCCAATCAACACCCATATGAACTGCTTTAGACCCCAACAGCACCCCATGAACCACTCTAGACCTCACCAACACCCATATGAACTGCTCTAGTCCCCACCATCAACCCTGCTCACCTTGGGGCCTACCATCATCCTCATGAACTGCTCGAGACCCCACCAACACCCATATGAACTACTCTAGACCCCACCCATCACCCCCATGAATTGCTTTAGACCCCACCAACACCCATATGAACTGCTCTAGACTCCACCACCAACCCTTCTCCCTTGGGGCCCACCATTAGCCCCATGAACCACTCTAGACTCCAGCAACACCCAAATGAACAGCTGTAGACCCCATAAGCAGCCTTACCCACCTCGGGGCCCACCATCATCTCTATGAACCACTCTAGACCCCACTAACACCCATATGAACTTCTTTAGACCCCACCACCAACCCTTGTCACTTTTGGGGCCCACCATCATCCCCATGGACCTTGTCATCACTTCACTCGATTGCCCCGGGAACCCATCATCAACCCTTCTCACCTATCACCCTTATGAACTGCCCTGGACCCCATCATCACCCCCATGGACCATCCTGGACCTGGTAATCATCCCTATGGACAACTCCAGAACCCACCCTTTTCAACCTGTGTCCTTCTATCACCCCCATGAACCATCCTGGATGCCCAAGGACCCATCACACGTATGAAGTGCCCTAGACCCCACCACCAACCCTTCTCACCTTGGATCCCACCATCATCCTATGTGGATTACCCCAGACTCTGCCAAAACCCCCACTGACTCCCTCTTCTTACCCTTGGCCTCACCATCTCCCCATGGACCATGCACCATCATCCATATGGACTGCCCAATATCCAATCCTTCTTTCTTTAGGTCCCGTTATAACCCCCATGGTCCTCCCTAAGCCTCCCCATCACCCCCATGGACCACCCGGACCCTCTTTTTACTTCTAGGTTTTAATGGCTCCCTCCTGCCCTAGACTCACTTTTAGCCCAGGCCCATCCACCTTCTCTTTTAACCTCTGTTTTCTCCTATCGCCTCCATCTGACTCCTGACTTTGGACCCTTTATTTAGACTGGGCCCTTTATATATCTTTTTGACGTCTTAAATTCAACCCCCTCTTTTACACCCCACTCATCCATCACTTTTTTTACCCTTGGCTCCTCCAGTACCCCTTCCTGGCCCAGTCTTCATTCCACCTTTTTTACCCCCAGCCTCTTCATAACACTTTCTACTGCCCTGGTCTCTCAACCCTTTTCTTTACCCTGGGCCCTCTGTTACCCCACACTCGCCATGTCCTCTAATTACAGGCCCCTCTCAATTATTATTTATTGTCTCAACCTCTCCATATCCTCTTTTTACCCCAACCTCTCCGATACCTTCTACCATGCTCTCCATTATCGTTTTGTTTTTTTTAACCTCCATCCCCTCCGCTGCCCTTTACTGCCCCAACCTCTCCTTTTACTTCGGCCCCTTTGGTGCCCTCTACTGCCCCAGCCTTTCCATAACCTCTTTTTACCCCCGGCCCCTCCAGTGTAGTCTACTGTCCCAGCCTCTCTAGATCCTCTTTTTAGCACAGGCCCTTCTGGTGCACTCTTTTGCCCCAACCTCTCCATATCCTTCTTATACCTCTGCCCCTTCAGTACCCTCTACTTCCTCCGCTCTCCATATCTTCTTCTTACCCCAGGCCCGTCTACTGCCCCAGCCTCTCCATATCCTCTTCTTACCCCTGGCCTCTCCAGTTCCCTCTACTGCCCCAGCCTGTCCATATCTCCCCCCACCCCCACAACCTCTCAGTGCCCCAGCTTATCCATATTCTCTTTTTTTCCTTAGGCCTCTCCATATCCTCTCTTTACCCCAGGCCCTCTGGTACCATCTACTACCCACACTCTTCATATACCTTTCTACCCTCATCACCTCTGGTGCCCTCTACTGCCCCAGCCTCTCCATATCCCCCTCTTACCCCCGGCCCCTCTTGTGCCCTCCACTGCCCCAACCTCTCCATGTCCTCTTCTATTTCCACGGCCCCTAAGGTGCCCTCTTCTGCCCCAGCCTTTCCATATCCTCTTCTTACCCCCAGCCCCTCCAGTACCCTCTTACTGCCCCAGCCTCTCTGTATCCTATTCTTACTCCAGGCACCTATGGTACCCTCTGCTGCCTCAGCCTCTCCATGTCCTCTTCTATTTCCACGGCCTCTCTGGTGCCCTCTACTGCCATACCATTTTCATGTCCTCTCCTTACCCCCGGCCCCTCTGGTGCCTTCTTCTGCCCCAGCCTCTCCATGTCCTCTTCTATTTCCACGGCCCCTCTGGTACCCTCTACTGCCATAACATTTCCATGTCCTCTTCTTAGCCCCGGCCCCTCTGGTGCCCCAGCCTCTCTATATCCTCTTCTTACCCCAGGCACCTATGGTACCCTCTTCTGTCCCAGCCTCTCCATATCCTCTTCTATTTCCATGGTCCCCCTGGTGCCCACTACTGCCATACCCTTTCCATGTCCTCTTCTTACCCCCGGCCCCTCTGGTGCCCTCTAGTGCCCCAGCCTCTCTATATCCTCTTCTTACCCCTGGCCCCTCCAGTGCCCGCTACCGCCCCAACCTTTTCCGTATCCTCTTCTTACCCCCGGACCCTCTGGTACCCTCTACCGCCCCAGCCTCTCCATATCATCTTCTTACCCCCGGACCCTCTCCCACCCCAGCCTCTCCATATTCTCTTACCCCCCGGACCCTCTCCCACCCCAGCCTCTCCATATTCTCTTACCCCCGGACCCTCTACCACCCCAGCCTCTCCATATTCTCTTTTAACCCCAGAGCATCTGGTACCCTCTATCACCGATAGCCTCCATTCTCTCTCTTTTTACCCCCGGCCCTTCGGCTGCCTTCTACTGACTCAGTCTCTTCACTTTTTTATCCCGGCCCCTCTATGGCCCCCCACTGCCTCTGCCCCCCCATATACCCCTCCCCCCTTCTCACCTTCATGGGGTTGTCGTAGTAGACCCCAACAGATACCAGTTTGGGCGCCAGGCTGACGCTCTCCGTATAAAGGTTTCCGCTCTCATCGTACGGTCCCACGCGGAACTTGTAGGCGACCACCACCCCCCCGCGGATCGGCGGCGGTCCCGCCCTCACCTCCACCTCGGTCAGCAGCCCCGAATAGACGGCCAACCCGAAGAGGGTGAGCAGGAGAAGGGCGACAAGCGCCGCAATCAGGGAGATCAGCACCCAGTCCGGCACCGAGCTCATCTTCACCACTGACCACCCTCTACTGACACCCACTGACTGTGGTCAGTCCCGCCCACCTCAGTTTACAGCCCCGCCTCCGGAACCCCGCCCCCAGACCGAACAATGCCAGCAGAAGAAGGACCACCAGAGCCGCGGTCACTGAGACCAGAACCCAGTCCGGCACCGAGCTCATCGCCTTCCAACACCGAGCGACTGAGCTCACCTAGGGGGCGGGACCCTGACACAACCTGCGGGCTGCGGCCCCGCCCCTGCTTGACGTCACCCGCCCCTCATCCTCTGACGTTACCGCTGCGTCTCCGCCCCTCGCAGCCTCAGCCCCGCCCTACACGAGTCTCACTCACCGCCTCAGCCCAGCCCCACCCACTCTAACATTACAGCGGCGTCTCCGCCCCTCAAACCACGCATCACCTCCATTATCTAACATTTGACGGCCCCACCCTTCGCAACTACAGCCCCGCCCTCTTTTCTATCCTTCACACCTATAGCCCCGCCCTACCGTCCCTCAGCGCCTCCTTATCTCCTATACAGTCTCTCACAGTGCAGCCCCGCCCCTACACATTCCTCGACTCCGCCCTCCGCTGACCCTTCAGCCGACAGAGGGTCATGTGAGCGGTCACCTGAGCGTGGGGGGGCCTCACGGTCCTTCTTCTGAGCTGAGGCGTCTCCATGGAGATGGGCTGCCTTTCATGTTGCCTGTTTTGGTTCTTTGAGATAGAGAACAGCTTCAGACTCCCCCAGTACTATGCCCAGGGTGTTGTATAAGGGCAGCCATTTGTGGGAAGGGGCAGGGTGGCCACTTCATCCTTTTTTAAAAACCGAATGCATATTGGTGACACGGGTTCTGTGGCTGATAAGGTGATTAAACTCACCGGCAATAAATTATCTTCAGGACCCGTGTCAGTAACGTGTTCGGTTTTGACGTGGCAACCCTAGAAGGGGGTGAATCCAAATCCGTCAGGGTGTCAGGAAGCAGGCAGTGCGAGGACAGCCTGGAACATAAGGTAGCCACCTCATCCCTTTAAAATCGAACACAAATTGGTGACACGGGTTCTGTGGCAGATTAAGGTGGTCATTAAACTCACCGGCAATAAATTATCTTCAGGACCCGTGTCAGTAACGTGTTCGGTTTTGATGTGGCAGCCCTAGAAGTGGGTGACTCCAAATATGTCAGGGTGTCAGGCAGCAGGCAGTGTGAGGACAGCCTGGAAATAAGGTTGCCACCTCATCCCTTTAAAACCGAACACATATTAACCATTTGCCCCCCCCCTATTGTAGAACGGCTACAGAGCGGCAGGGCTGCGCAAAACCACATATATATATATATATATGTACGTGATTTTGTATATCGCACGCCCGACCCGCATCGCCATTGGCGGCTACGGAAGTCAATCACCGGGTCCCGGTCACAGATTCCCCAACGGCACCCGGCGAGGAACACTGACGGGAGAGATCTGTGTGTAAACAATGCAGGTGTCTCCCCTGTCAGCGAGGACATGCTGCTTTGTATGTCTCTGCACAGCATGTCTCCCTAGTAACACAGCACACAGTTAACCCTTTTGATGGCCCCAGATGTTAACCCCTTCCTGCCCAGTGCCATTAGTATGGTGTCAGTGCTTTTCATTAGCACTGATCCCTGTATTGGTGTCACCGGGGATGTCAGTGACATCAAGTCAGTTCCCCCCAGTGTCAGAATGCCCGCCGCAGTCCCGCTATAAGTCGCTGATCGCCGCCATTACTAGTAGAAAAAACAAACAAACACAGTCTCTATGCCGCCATTTGTAGACGCTATAACTTTCACGTAAACCAATTCATTTGCACGTATCGGGCAGAATACATTTTGGCCTAAATTTATGACGAAATTTGGTTTTCTAAAATTTGTTTACTGGACGTGTTTTATAGCAAAAAGTCAAAAATATATATTTTTTTTCAAAATCTTCCATCTTTTTTTGTTTATAGCGTAAAAATTAAAAAACGCACAGACGATCCAATACCAGCGAAAGAAATCTCTATTTGTGGGGAAAGTCGCTGATCGCCGCCATTACTAGTAAAAAAACTAATTTTATTTTATATACCGCTATTTCTAGGCGCTATAAGTGTCCTAAATTTATGACGAAATTTGATTTTCTAAAATTTGTTTACTGGACGTGTTTAATAGCAAAAAGTCAAAAATATTTTTTTTTTTTCAAAATCTTCGGTCTTTTTTTGTTTATAGCGTAAAAATTAAAAACCGCACAGGCGATCCAATACCACCGAAAGAAATCTCTATTTGTGGGGAAAGTCGCTGATCGCCGCCATTACTAAAAAAAAAAATTCAGTTTACTGCCATTAGTAGATGCTATACATTTCACGTAAACCAATTCATTTACACATATTGGGATTTTTTTTTTTAGCGAAGATGCGGCGCAGAACACGTTTTGGCCGAAATTTATGAGGAAATTAGATTTTTTTACAATTTTTGTTTACTGGACGTGTTTAATAGCAAAAAGTCAAAAATATTGTTTCTGTCTCAAAATTTGTCGGATTTTTTTGTTTATAGCGTAAAAAATAAAAAGAGCAGAGCGGATCAAATACCACCGAAAGAAAATTCTATTTGTGAGGAAAGTCGCTGATCGCCACCATTAATAGTGAAAAAAAAAAAATTACAGTTTATTTACCGCCATTTGTAGACTATAACTTTCACGTAAACCAATTAATTTAAACGTATTGAGATTTTTTTTTAGCAAAGACACGTAACAGAAAACATTTATTTATGATGAAATTTTATTTATTTATTTTTTTTTTACTGGACATGTTTAATAGCAAAATGCCCAAAATATTGTTTTTTAAAAAAAAAGTCAGTCTTTTTTTGTTTATGGCGTAAAAAATAAAAACGCACGGGGGATCAAATACCACTGAAAGAAAGCTCTATTTGTGGGAAAAAAAGGATGTAAATTTCATTTGGGGGCAGCGTTGCATGACCGCGCAATTGTCAGGTAATGTAACGCAGCGCCACATTGCAAAAAATGGCCTGGTCAGGAAGGGGGGGGGGGAAATCCTCTGGAGGGGGAGGGGTTAATGACACGGGTTTTGAGGCTAATTTATTGCAGAGAAGGCGCCAAGTGAGTTTAATTACCACTTTAATCGGCCCCAGAACCCGTGTCATTCATATGTGTTCAGATGGGGTGGCCACCCTACAGGAACATAATACTCCGACTATGGCCAAGGTGATCATTATCCACGTTACTCCCCGCAACTCTTCTGACAGTTTTTGTTTACATGGAACAATCCGAATGTTATGCTAGAGCAGCTAGAACATTACTTAGAACCCCCAAACATGATACACTATATTGCCCCAAGTATTGGGCCGCCGGCCTTTCCACACACATGACCTTTAATGTCCCCCCAGTCTTAGTCCGTAGGGTTCAATATTGAGTTGGCCCCCCCTTTCCACACGCATGACCTTTAATGGCCCCCCAGTCTTAGTCCGTAGGGTTCAATATTGAGTTGGCCCCGCCCTTTCCACACACATGACCTTTAATGGCCCCCCAGTCTTAGTCCGTAGGGTTCAGTATTGAGTTGGCCCCGCCCTTTGCAGCTATAACAGCTTCAACTCTTCTGGGAAGGCCGTCCACAAGGTTTAGGAGGGTGTCTATGGGAAGGTTGGACCATTCTTCCAGAAGCACATTTGTCAGGTCAGGCACTGATGATGGGGGGGAGGGGGCCTGGCTCGCAGTCTCCGCTCTAATTCATCCCAAAGGTGTTCTATGGGGTTGAGGTCAGGACTCTGTGCAGGACAGTCAAGTTCCTCCACCCCAAACTGGCTCCTCCATGTCTTTATGGACTTTGCTTTGTGCACTGGTGGGCAGTCATGTTGGAACAGGAAGGGGCCATCCCCAAACTCTTCCCACAAAGTTGGGGCATGAAATTGTCCAAAATATTGCCTTAAGAGTTCCCTTCACTGGAACTAGGGGGCCAAGTCCACCCCTGAAAAACAACCCCCACACCATAATCCCCCCTCCCACCAAACTTTACATTTGGCACAATGCAGTCAGGCAAGTACCGTTCTCCTGGCAACCACCAAACCCAGACACGTCCATCAGATTGCCAGACAGAGAAGTGTGATTGGTCCCTCCAGAGAACACGTCTCCTCTGCTCTAGAGTCCAGTGGCGGCATGCTTTACACCATGGCATCCGACGCTTTGCATTGCACTTGGTGATGGAAGGCTTGGATGCAGCTGCTCGGCCATGGAAACCCATTCCATGAAGTCTCTACACACTGTTGTTGGGCTCATCTGAAGGCCACACCAAGTTTGGAGGTCTTTAGCTATTGACTCTGCAGACAGTTGGTGACTTCTGCGCACTGTGCGCTTCAGCATGCGCTGACCCCGCCCTGTCATGTGACGTGGCCTACCACTTGGTGGCTGAGTGGCTGCTGTTCCCAGTTGCTTCCACTTTGTTATAATCCCACTAACAGTCAGACCGAGTAGTGCAGGAACTACTCTGAAGTCGCTGCAACTTATATATGAGTGCTTATCATTGGAAATCATGGGGTGCGGCTTGTCATGCGATTTGATGTCCAAAGTCACATGACAAGTCACACAAGTGTGAATGGGGTCTATAAGTGCATTATAGAGGCGCGTTGGGCATCATTCAAAATAAAAGGCCCCGCAATGCACCGAATCCTGCGCAGCGTGCCGCAGAACATTAACGCCCCTCATCGTGTATTGACGCCCTCCCTCTGCTGACAGTCCGTTCCCGGCACCCACTACTTTTCCAGTACAATAATACTCTCCAAGGTTCCTCCAGCTGAGGCCGCATCCCCGAGATCCTCATCTCAGTTCTGTCGCATGATGCAAGTGTTGAGCCATATGTACTACAGCACCGCTGGGATCACCGCCCCTCCCCCACCACACCCGTACAGGCATTTTTGTTTTTTTATACTGCATCTTAAAGATCGATGAAGCTGTCTGTATGTCAGAGAAAAATGGCGAACCTTTCCGGACTCCGATTTATTATTTATTTAGGATGTTATATACATACAGTGGGGA